GCTGCACACAGTGCGCATCGGGCAGCAGCAACAGCAGCACATGTGGCATCTAGGATGCATATAATTCGTTGCTGGGATAACGGCCGCCATCTAACGACCAGGACCAGGACCAACAACGAACAGTCCTGGCTCCACCGCCTCCCGCCTCCCGCTTCAATCTTCAGCTTCTGCATAGTTTCGCCCGCCCATCGCTTCTGGAAATGGGTGCCACGAAAATGCCGCCACTTGCGCGCTCCGGCAATAAGCAGGATTCTATAGACGACGTGGACGGAGGCGGAGATGGTGACGCTACCTTTTGCCCACCCATACAGAAACAGAGGGAGCCAGAGACAGAAACAGAGAGAGAGGACAGACACACACAGACATATGCTATGGCCATGCTTATGGGTGTGCACATTCACATAATGAAGTAGAGGCAGCCACCACGAGGGTTGCCCACTCACCGAGCCGAGCACTGCCCCCCCCCCCCACCACCTCCACCTCCGCCCCACACAGCTCCCTCGAAGAGCAAGCAGTCGCATGACCAAACACCCAACAAAAAGCCACAGCAATAACAACAACAACAACAGCAACAGGGAATCGAAGGAAAGGGGCAAGGGCAAAGGCTCACATTTGGCTTCGTTTTGTCAGCCGAACCAACAAGCCGAAGGAGCGGAAAGAAGCAGAAGCAGAAGAAGCCAAATGAAGATGAAGGAAGAATGGAAACAACAGAAATAACGGAAATATCTGTCAACTTAAAAAATGAACATTAAAAATAAGGACACACACACACCTTCTGTTGATTGTTTTCAGATGAATCCAACAATTATTATTTTCTGCCTAGGAATAGATTTCCAAGCAAAATCTAGTTAAGAATGCCACAAGTTATTCCGTTATTAAAGCCGGAAAGGACCTCTTTGATTAAGCAAACACAAAGGACACGTCCAATATATTGCCCCAACCGAAGGGTCGTAATTTATGCAGCGTTCGTCGAGGGCGTGCAACAACCAATAATCCATACTCCACCCATTCCATGTATGTATAAAATGGGCAAATATTGTATATGTACATATATAAAGTTTATCGACTAACAGGAGGACCGGCGTTGTTCGCCAATCGCCGACAGTCGAAGGAAAATTTAATTAAAAACAAACCAATGAAAGAATATTTCGTAACACAGAAATAAGACCGGCAAATAAACGGGAAAAATTTCTACCTCAAAATTTCACCAGAAAAGCTGAAGCTGCAACGCACCGAAGATATTTTACTCTTCGAATTTATACGTCGATGATTGGGTCAAACGTTTCACAATAGTTACAATACCCTTTTTCAAATTTCATGTTTTGCTGCAGGAACGGGACGGGTATCCACATTGTCTGGTCTGTGGCAAATGAGTGGACAATGCCACATAGATTTTGATACGGGTGTGCGGCGAGGGGGTCGGTGCTCACTCATCTTACCCATGGCAATTTTCGATAGTGTTGTGCACCAACCGTATGCCTAGCACCTCTCTTTGCCCACCCAATCCGACACAAACGATGCATTCATTCAATTACTGAAAATATATCCAAACTGCAGCCCAAAACAACAAATTCAATCTACAGCTATCCTGCCATACAGTTATAGCCCCCCAAAGAGAGAGAGAGAGAGAGAGAGTCGGGCTACCATTCTCTTTCTTTTTACAGTTTGAATTGTGTTTGAAGAGTGCCATTGGAGGAGTGTAGGGTGTAGGGTGTAGGTTGGCAAAGGGACAAACACAAATAAAATCTCTGCGTTCGTGTGTGTGCATTACCAAATGCAATCGTTGGAACCCCCCCTCTCCCACAGCTACGCACCACTGTGACAGGCACCAACCTATCGTATCTCGGACCTCCTCCTATCCCCAACCCAAACCCAATCTGCGGGCAGCTACTCTCCCCAATCTCCACCCCACTGTACACTTTCCTTCTAACCATTTGACATTCAGTCAAGCCTGTTCGATGTTATTGTTTATAAGCTTCTGGGTTTTCTCCAGCCTTTCAAAGGGCATACCCTTTTTTGTCCCCAAGGAAACACACTTTTTTGTACAATATAAGAATTTAAATTGGCATGTTAGTCCCCTAATTGCTCAGGTATCAGGCTTAACGATATATTTGCTACCTTTATTTTCCATTTAAATTTGATTCCATAGGGTATTCAAAGCTGCGACACCGTCAGTTATCCTTTTACTGCTGTTGCTGTTGTGGTCGCTACTGCTTGCTGTTTGCTGTACGACTCACTCTCTTGCGAATTCGAGCTTCGAATTCCGAAGTTCTTGCTTATCTCTTGGCACTTAAACAGCGCTGCTGCCGCTGCTGCTGCTGCTGCTACCCCCCACCGCCACCTGTGCATGGCATCGTCTCGATTCCAGTTTGATTTCGTGGGCATCTCCTTCCCATTTCATGCCTCTGTCTGTCGATGCGCGTCTCTTGAGGATTGTGGAGACTCTCAAGGTGCAACATTGGCAACGGGCCTGAATCGGAGATCTCTCTTTCTCTCTCTCTCTGCCCACACACTAGCACAGACAGGCACACGTGTGACTGAGAGACAACGCCACCTGTCCCTATCACTGTCCCTGTCCTTGTCTTCGTTCTCTCCACCTTGCTGGTTTTTGCTGTTATTTTTTTTTGGGAAGGAGGAGTAGAGCATTTGTCGCCATTTATTTACACGATTAGAAATCGATTTTATGCGATTCCCATATAATATTCAATATGAAATGACAAACGGAATACACAAGAACAAAAGTACACACATGTGACCTGCCGCCTCTGCCGCGAGAGAGAGAGAGACAGGCAAAGCAAAAAGCAGAAAGAGTAGCAGAGTACATGGTGTATGTATGTATGTATATATGTATGTATGCATGTGCTCGCCTCTCATATGGATGTGCCGTTATAATGATTTATGTTAAGCTTATTGGCAGGCCACCCACTCACACAAGCCCACAAACACTCAATGTTGAGGGGAGTGTGAGTGCATGTGTGTATGGGTGATAGAGGAGTGAGCGGGGGGAAATTGAATGAGAGAGAGCAAGGGAAGGGCTCAATTGAAATCGATTTGTGGGCAGGCAGCAGAACAGCAACGAAACTGCGGCAACGGTAGCGACATCTACTATCGTCCCCCAACTTCAGGCGACCTTTGCTCTGCACTCTACCCTGCTTACCTTACACTAAGCGAAAAACCGAGTTCATGTACTGCTTGCAGGTGATCGACAACATTGCGAGGGAGAAGCAAGCTATGTATATACAAGTTAATTAACTGTTTAATCCGGAAGCAGTGCATTGCTATCAAAAGCATGGGAAAAGAAACTGCTTAGCAAAAAATCAGATTAATTATACTGCTTACTGAATGCACTACTTGCTCTTTGCAAAAACCTTCTTAGCAAATTCTATGCAAATCAAGTTGACATATAATCTGTACATACATATGTGCAGTGAGGAAAACCATGGGAACAGACTGCTTACCCACCGTCAGCGCATTGAATATCTACTGGTTATTAGAAAGAAGATGGCCATCATTATTCCACCTGTCCCGCACAGCCACCAATCATCATTAATCAACCCCCAGACGAAACGGTGCCTAATTAGCCCTGGACGAACGCTCGGGTTAACTCTCGGATATTTGCCTTGATTACGACGACTTTGACCGAATCCGTAATCGAACGGCTCTCAAGCTCCCAAGCAGTACACCCACACACACACACTCACGCAGCACTTCCACTCAAAAGCAATTGATTAACAACTGAAAGTTCAAAAGCAGCAATTAACATTTGAGAAAAAACAAACGCAATGAGAAGGGATAGTGGTGGGGGCAAGGGATAAAAATATGCTTCGTCACTTTACAGGGAAGTAGAGGAGGTGCAAAAGAAACGTTGAAAAGAAACCGCGGGGGATAGGGCCAAGCGTATAAAACAAAATCCAAAAACCCAATCCACTTGCCTTCCTTTTTCTGCTTCTTTTTTCTTTTGTGCGGGCCCTATGTACGTGTACGTGTACGTGCACGGGTGTGTGTGGGTCCACGACTCTAGTATAAAACTAGCCACCCCACCTTCTGCCTCCCCCCACTCCATCCAACAACAAACACAATTTATACACACAACTCCCTCCCCAGCTCCCCCCTTCAAATGGGCAAAAGCCATTCGTGCGCAAATCTCAAATAAAAGCGCGCAGAACGCGACGTCGCTGCCTTTGCCCTCTGCCTCTGCTCCCGCTGACTGAGGGGCTCTTCTGCTGATGAATTGTATTTGTACGAGCGAGGCGCACACACACAAAGCACATATATGCGGACAGGGCAAGAGCAAAAAAAAAAGAAAAAAACCCGAAGTTTGGGACTGACTCCTCTCTCCAGTGTCTTTGCCTTGCTTGGCTCTGCCGCCGCTGCATTTGTATTTGTATTTGTGTGTTTGCCTGTGTCGTGTGCCACTGTCAACCGCCGCCGCCGCCGTCGAAGTCAAAGCCCGTAAAAAGAAATACAACTACAAGAAGCAGAGCAGCTAGCAGAACCCTCTGCTGAACTCTGCGACGCTGCTGCTGCTGCTGCCACTGCCCGCCTCCTGCTGCTTCTTTTACTTCTTATGCTACTCATTTTATTGTTATATCCTTGCCGAAGGTATATTGATGTGGAGCGAATTTTGTCAGCCATCGATATGTGTCGTAGAAAGGAGCTGCCGGAAAATAGGTCCTGAAAGATAACTATTTTGTAGGGTATCAACTGTAGGCCACGGACGCTGGCTATGAAGTAACTGCTGTCAGGTGTGGGGGGATGTCTAATAATAGGAGAAGATATGGAATACTGTTACAAAAATCGTTACACCCCTTCCGCGACTTCAATCGTAAGTTTATTCTGTTTTGTGGGCTTCTCCACCCCATCAAAAACCAGGCTACGCCACTGTCCCTTTATGATTCGTATCTTTTGCCGGCTCACTCACACACAAACACACACACGCAATTCGATCCACAATGTGAGCTCAAATTCGATTCCCTGGTAAAAAAAAAAACGTACCTTACCTGTGTCCAGTTTAAGCGCTTCTCCGTCTTCTCCTCCTCAGCGACGCGACGCTTATCGTTGATTGACTTTTGCCTGCCGCCGCCCAATCATTTATCGCCCACATATACTCTTATTTTTTTTTTTAATTTCTGGAGCTTCTCTTTATATTTGGTTTGATTTTAACTTTTGTGCAAATATTATATTCCAATTTTTTTCACGTTTTTCACACACATGCACAGAACAGTCACATACACACACAGACGCAACCGCTCAACGACGGGAAACAATTTTCGCCGCGGGCGGTTTTCTTTTTCTTTTTGCTCTTTATTTTCACACGGTCGCCACAAAATGTCACTGTTCTTCCACCACCCGCACACGCGCAATTTCCAACGTTTTTTTCTGCTTAAATATAATTCTCCAATAAAACTAATAAATCGCGCGACCGCGGGTCGAAGCTAAGCGGTAGATCCCCGCATAATTGTTTTTGCAAAATTTATCCTCCACACACGTCCGAGCGGTTCGACAGAAAAATGTGATGGCGGCAAGGCCGTTCATTCAAATATGCACCATGAAAAACGAACTTAGCCCTCGTAACCCCCCTCTATTTAAACAGGTGAACAAATTGAGTTGAACTGCGGAAAATAGTACTGTTTTTAAAGTATTTTTGTAGATCCATCCTATCATTAATTTCTAATTACAAGAAACCCACGATATCTTTCTTCTGAACTGCGCTAAAATTATTCAAGTATCATCACTTTCGTGGTGTGTGTTTTAATACCTACTGGTCGACAATGGGTTAATCGTTGTCTCTCGATGGTCCTAAATCGTATTGCCCGAATTTGGTTTTCGGTTTATATTACTAGCTAAATGGGAGTTTCAGCTTTGAAAACATAATTTTATCCAATTAATGAATCCAAAAGATTCGCTAATTTAGGGAATCTTTTTTAATGGATTGTGTCTAAAATAAGGTTTAAGCGAAAACGAAGAAGTAAAAGGTACTGATGGTACTCATTGGTACTCGGAATAAATGATGCAGTCCGGTTGGAGAGAGCGAAAGTTAAATTAAATAATCCAAGGTATGGAAGTCTCTATTTCGTATGTTATTTAACATATGTACCTTTAAAAATGGATTGATGAAATATGCCAGTATATGTCGGGCAACGTTTTTAGGTCCCCAGCAAAATTTGAAACACACACACACTTTAAACCGTTCTGGCAGTTAAACGAATTCAAATTTTCTGCTCTAATCAGTCCTCTTCGGCCAGGTGTATCTGGTACGATGGAGGCGGGGTTTTAATTGCGTTTGTAGGGAGAGGAATTGACGTTTCTCGAGTCGCACATTTCGATGAGTCTCCTTTCTCTTTCGCTCTTTTGTGACACGAAATATGCGATCATCGGTAAAGCATTCTACGGGAATTCCCTTCCGTTTAATCATACACTGTACTGGGAGTTGGTTCTATCGTTTACTTTATATAGAATTTATGATATTAACTATTCATCAACAACCTAGAAATTAAACGTCAACGGATGCACGGCAAAGTAGCCTTTGCTCTTGGTCAGCTGATTGGAGAGCCGCACCAGGTTGTTGTCGTTGTTCACGAAATTGCCGCCAAAGATCTCTGTGCAGAGGGTCTTGACCACATCCCGGCCCTGCGAGCAGACGGCGGTGGCCGTGAGCAGCTCGTGGTCGGCCAGCGGCAGGCCGATGCAGTAGGACCGCGAGGCACGCGCCACACTGGCCCACATCGCGTATATGGTCGTTGAGATCTCGGCCAGGCGTTGCATTTCGCTCTGGCGCTCCACCACCGCATTGCCGTGGCGGGTGAACATCAGCTCGACGGCCATCTGGAGGCGGGCCACCGACTGCTCAATGCATTGGGCCGCCGCGTCCAGCGAGGGATGCACATGCTCCGATAATTGCATTTTGGTCTTCGGGTTCTCAACGCTGGTGGTCTCCAGGAACTTGCCAAAGATGTGGCCAGGATGGAAGAGCGGATTCCTGGACTTGCGCACGCCCGAATTCATCGCTTGCTAAGAAAAATAAAAGAACAGTGGTAATTCTTTGATGTGGGACTACAATCCATTCGAGATCCTACCCCGGCATACTGCAGTCCTGTGAGGGCAATAAACATGCTCAACGTGTCGATGGATTCCCCCTGGGTGTACAGCTGGGCTGCATCCCTCAGTCCCAGCTCTGTGGGTTGGCCGCTGTGCAGGCTCTTGGGTCCAACGATACCCAGATTGTCGGAGGCAATCGCGTACAGCTGCTTCAGGGTGTAGTACTTGGTTATGGCACTCTCCAGCGTCACGTCCTGGCCCTGGAACTCGTCCAGCAGTCCGGCGGTTAGGTAAAGCATGCTCTCCATGGCATACACCGAGCACATGGCCCTGGACAGGTGGACGCGGGTAATCTCCAGGTCTCTGCAAAGGTGAACCATTAGCAAGAGTAAGTCGAAGATGAATTCACATCCGGCTGGGCTGCTGCCCACTCACTTAATATGCACCCCACACTGGGTGGTGTCCACGCTGAATTGGGTCAGCTCGTTGAGCAGCCGCTTCGCCAGGGAGAGACCTACGAGGCTGCTGCGCAGTCGGGAAGCACGCACCAGTTTCTCCGAGTGTCGATTGCCGTCATGTGGCAGTCCCACCACTTGATCCTCGCTTATCTGTACGTTGTCGAAATGAACACGCCGCATCTGGGTCCCGCGACAGCCAATGGTTGGATGCTGCTCGCCCAGCCGAACGCCGGGCTGCTGGGAATCCACCAGGAAGATGGTAGTACCACGGCCCAAGGATCCGGGAACGTTGGGCTGCTGTGTCTGGGCCAGCACCAGGAACAGTTGCCGTTCGCCGGGAGCACACACCACATAGGCCTTCTCTCCGTTGAGCAGCCACGAGTTGGACCCGGGCGTCAATGTGGCCTGTGTGCAGAAGTAGTCGTCCTCGGGCGGGGCATACTCATAGATGGCCTCGGTGGCAATCAGCTGTCCACTGCCCAGAGCCGGCAGATAACGCTGCTGCTGCTGTTGGGTGCCCACCTCGCGCAACAGGTCCACAACCACCCGATGAGCCTGCAATCCCAGGCCTATGCTGGTTTCCGCCGAGTCCGGCTCGCTGGCCATCAAGCTGGCACTCCAGCCATATCCCCTGCCATCGTAGTCGGTGGGCACATTCAGACTGTAGAGTCCGAGCTGCTTGAGATTGTCCCCCGACGTCTGCTCTGGCTCCTGCTCCTTGCATTCACTGAAATAGTTCTTGAGGGGCAGCAGCGCGTTCTGCAGCTGGGACATGTCCTCGCGGGCTATGACCTCCGGATAGGCCAGCAGCTCCTTATCCACGGCCCCAATGAAGAAGTTCTTCACCAGCGGTGCACGTGCGGGCAGCTGTTGTTGTTTCTGCTGATCCGCCGCCTCTTGCACGCCGCCCGGTTTTTCGCTGCCTCCGGCCGCCGCCGCCTGTCCCCCATCCTGCCGCTGTGCATCGAGGCTGTGTGTGGTGGCCTTGCTGCCCTTGCCGCGTATCAGTAGTGTCCTTGTTCTGTCGTATCTCAGCAATCGCGCGGCCCCAGAAAACAGTTGGGAACGTATCATTCTGGAGAATTAGGTAATATTATTTAGTATTATTAGCGAATTTATAGATAAAATATACCGTCCGACCCTCAGGAATATACCAAAATAATCCGTCTCATTTTGAAAATATACCGTAAATATACTGACAAATTCCAGCTGTATTGTACATATTCCTCGTTTTTGATCTTCCGTGGAATATTACTAGCTAAATATAACTCTTAGCCCTGCCCACATAATTTTATCCGATTTATGAATCAATTTTCTACTTAACTGGCTCATTCATAATACTTGCTTTTGCTTGAATTTTTCCTGAAAAAACGTTTTAGCGAAAAAGGTCAAACAAAATAAAACGTAATAGCGTAATAAAACGTAAGAGAAAAATCGTTCCTATTGCTCAATTTTTATATTCCGTTGAATAATGCTGACTAACTAAAATCTTTAGCTTCGCCCATATAATTTTAGGCCATTGATGAATAAATTTTCTACAAGATTGGCTATTTTTAAGTTCTCCTTTTTATTGTATTTTGACTACAGCAAGGTTTAAACAAAAAAGGACAACAAAAAAACAGTGGCAACGTAAGTGAGTATGAAATGTCACGTCAACCGGAGTTTTTGAACTGGTAGACCCTATTTCGTTAATATTATATGAAGAAACTTTTAGAACTTTCCAAGCTGTTTTAATTTAATTTTAATTTGCCGAAGCAGATGGATCAGGAGGTGAAGACGGTTGAGTCGAACACTTACCATATGAGGGATATGATACTCATCTATCATGATGAAAAAAGGTTCCTTCTTGAAATATGTCAAGTGAGACACGAAGTTAATTTTTCCCTCCAACATTTCCGGCCGCTTTAAATAGTTAACAGCAGCAACAGCAACAGCAACGTTAGATGTTAGCTTCCTCCTCCCACGCTTTGCCGGCACAGGAGCCTGCGCTAACTGGTTGTTGGTACTGCATTTCCTTGTTGGCGATGCCGCAGCAGGAGGCCTGGACACTGCATCTGGTATACCCAGCGATCGTTGCTGCTTGTGGTAGCAGTGCTCGAGAGTGACTACATAGCCATTGTCTCCAAAAGCTAAAATAAGAAAAAGAACCCATGATTAAATATTGCTCCTTGCAAAGAACTGCAGCTTGTCGGGGGTACCAAATGGCAATTGGCAGCGGATCCCGTGGCTGTCTGCTGCTGTGCTGTTCCACTGGCCTGTACCGAGGCCGTATCCATATCACTATCCATTCACTTGCAATTCGAGCACTTGTACTTTAGATCGGATCGAAAGTGTTTTGAAATTTTCGCGTGCGCCACAGTTGAAAGTTGAAATTTAATTTGTTTTTGCAGCCCTAGTCAAGTCACGACACGACACGCACCTATCGACTGTTTTAAAAAGAGACGAGAACCACTAACCATACAGTATATACTGTAGGGTTAGTGGTACTATCTACTATAACGTACTCCATAAGAACGTACTATAGTATTATAAATTATATTAATCAATTGATTGATTATTATTAATATAATATATAAGTTAACACAATCGATCGAAAAAACATAAACATAAAACATAAAAAACACAAGATCAGCCGTTATACAGGGGATGTTGCCCAGCGACACCGGAGTTTTGGGTACGCAACAATGTTGCAGAACGAACAGTGAGCGTCCGGAGTGCTTAGAACTTACTTGTAAGCAGGAGTGCAGTTCTTTGGGGGAAATCAACCGCGTCGACCGTCGCCACGCCAATCTCAAACCGAAAGAAAGAAAGAAATCAAATTAAACTTTATATATATTTTCGATTCTAATCGATTCTGCCAACGATTCTGCAGCCCTAGGCAAAAGATCCGTTATGTTTTGGCGTCGCCGCGGAAAAATGCAGAAAAAAATGGTGACCACGGACGGACGGAATTTAAAAGTGTTTAACGGAAAACCGGAAAAAACAGAAACCGACGCGGAAACGGAATCGGAAACCGACGCGGAATCGGACACTGACGCACCGACCGGATCACCTACGGGATCACGACTTGCCGCAGCCCACACAACTTTATTTCTACTACTTCAGCAGCGACGACACTGATGACGTTGACTTGTGTATCTACAGACAGTGGAAGTTGTCCGGCCATTTATCCGACGCGTCCTCGGTGTCTGCCGCATCGTCGGTGACAACAGTCGTCAATGTAGGCGAGCGCTTGCTAATAAAGCAAGGCAAGCAGGAGATGCTAAGGACAGTGTCCACAAGGTGGCCACACCACACCGCAGACGAAGCCGACGCCCCAGACCAGAAGTTACATCACACCCGAAGGAGGCAGGGGCAGAGGCGGAGGTGGAGGCAGACGCTTGAATTGGCAGTTGCCAGGCGAACGGCCTTCAATGCAAGCACTGCAAAGGAAAGCAAGCGAAGACACAACCCAACACAACACAAAACAACGACATGTTAAACCAATTTATAAAAACCCAAAAACTTTCCCATGAAATGGGAGTTGGTGTGGTCAACTTGATCTCCAACATCCAGCATTATGGGAATGCTCCTTTCGTCGTGATTTACGACGAAATTCATTTGAAGTGGGGCGTGCGTGGCAACAAGTGGAAGGTGCTAGCGATAGCAGCCTTCAACTTGGATGGAAGGAATTTCCATTTCCTCCGCCTGAAGCTGGTAATATTCATTAGAATGAATATTTTTTGGTATTCTAATCAATTAACTTATTTGCAGGCACTCGTATCGCAGGAGGTGTTGGGTAGCCATGCCAGGTGCACAGAATAGTCCGACATATGGAAGTCGTGCCTGCATATCGGCGGGAGTTTGACAGAGAACCGTATCGGTTCATGGCGACTGTCGTTTGAGTCGTCGAAAGGATTACTCCCAAACCGGGAACCGGCCCTGTCGACGTTGGATGACGTTGCCATGCGTCAACAAATCGGTCCTTTTCAGGACCACCAAAAATTCATAGAGATGGAAATATTTTCTTTTATTCAATTTCACATTTGCAAAGGCTGGAAAGGTTCTTGGTAAATTTGATTATAATTATTAATAATTAAATAATACGGACTACGGTAACGTTAACGGCAGGAGATACGGACGCTCATGTCTCTTCCGCCATCAACAAGGGCGCCGACGATCCAGACGATCCTGATTATGAAGATGTATTAAACATTATAATAGACTAGGTATGTATTTATGGTATGGGTATATGTACATATGTATTTAAAACTCTCAGGTGCTGGGTGGAGCCGGACTCCACCAAACAAGTATGAATTTCGCGAGAGCAGTCTCACCCCACCCCCTCCCATGGACAGAAACCCCCTCCTGTACATAGTGATGGGAGTTGGGTGGCGCCTCCGTATCAGTTGGAGTTTACCTGGCCAGCTCCCATCACTAGAAACCGTCTTCTTCGTCTTCAATATTTACAAATTTTTGAGAAATATGATTTTGAGGACATGTTTTTGAGAGAGATGGGGAAGCGACAGATAGTAGCAGACATCGATGTCCTTAGATCCCACTAGGGGGGTTGAAAATTTTCGGACACACTGGAAATATTCAGAAATGTTCAAACAAAATAAGGTCAAAGTAAGGCTTAAACAAAAAAAGTCAAGCTGTTTTAATGTTGCCAGCAACATAAGACTTAATAAAACCACTAACCATACAGTATATAGATGTGCCAGTTCATACAACGAAAGTGTCACACACCGACTTGCGCTATCCGTACCCCAGAGTGACGTCTTCATGAGAGAGAGAGCGCAGAGAGAACATCTTTGCATGTGTTAGTACACACGCAATATGTTTCGACAAAAATATGTGATTGTATGTTTTTTCAGATTTTTTGAACTCTCTCAGGTCTGATCTGTTTTGCCAACAGCATGTTTTAGTGTATGGGTGCCCATGCATTCTCACGTACTTTGCGTGTGTGTGTTTACTATTGCTGGCCGCTAGAACTGAAATTTGAGTTTGGTTCTTGTTTCGGGTCTTTTGATGGACTGACCTACCGCCACAAAATAAATGAAGAATGGGCAGGGGGTGGGGGTATGGTACACTAGGGCGCGGGAAACAAAATAAAAGCTGTTATTTGTTTGATTTATACCACAAAATATAAAATATTACAATAATATAATTACACATTTATTTCCTTATTTTAAACAGGTTGATTATAAAAATTATAAAAATTATGGAAACGCCGTCGGTTCTCGACGTTTTTGTTTATTATAACTAAAACAATGATGTATCTAAATATACAATATAAGAAAATATATATATATACTTAAATAAATATGCATAAATATAAATGGAATTGGTTTTACATATATGTATTTCAAATCAATTGTCAATCGCGCGCTTTCCGACGGGAATCTGCAAAGTACAAATTTAGATGCCGGTCGCACCTTGAATACTCTCATGGACAATACCCATAAATTTTCTAATTCAATTATAAAATATCTTATGTACATACATATGCACATAAATATTAAAGTTTATTACATTCGTATATTGCATGAGGGTTTTCAAAATTACTGCTGCCCGGTCAGCGTCGAGTCGGTGTGTCTCGAGAGAAAGAATACAAAAACAAAATATGAATCGTCTGCGTGCTGAAACCGTAGGGCAGCGTGGTCGCTGATGTCTTTGGCGCGGCACAGTGGGACTCAGCCGAAATAGTAAAAAAATTGTATGAGTGCTTTAGATAAATTCTAATAGAGAATTTTCCAATCGAATTTTCCTACTGTGCCGCTCCAAAGACATCGGCGATCCGCGACCACCGCTTCGACGGTGCTGAGGCTCGAGAGTCAAGAATTGCCGAACAGACGAAACCGATGGGCAGCGGGGTCGCGGTAGAGACGAAGTACAGGCGAAAAGGGAATTGAAACCCCGCGCGCTCCCTCGTGCCTTTTGGGTTCTAATGTTAGGACCCGCCATAGAACAGCTTTTTGGTCGCTCATGCAACATCTTGGTATTGTATAGTCTTTGGTATTGTATAGTCTTTGATATAAACAAAACGTCGAGAACCGACGGCGTTTCCATAATTTTTATAATTTTTATAATCAACCTGTTT